AGTAATTTACTACACCACAGGGATATAGAATAATGTCCCTGTTCTTTGGAGATGTGTTCTGAAATCATTTAGAAATAATATCATGCAACTAACTTTCAAGTGGTCCATGTAAAAATTGTATAGCAAATATGGCTAATTTTTAACAATTTGTGAATATAGGTAAAGGGCACACAGATACTCATTGTACTGTTTAGGTTTCTCTGGAGGTTTCAAATTTTGCAGAATGAAAAGTTGGGAGAAAGTGCAGAATTGAGGATGTGCCCTGTGGTGAGTGTTATTTTCATTCTGAGCTAGGAGGTGATATATTTGCAAAGAGTGAGAAAAGTACTAAAGTGTCCAGTTTCACTAGGCAGAGAAGTCCAGAAAGAAGTCCGTTAGGCTCAAGTGATGCTAAAAGTGCAAAAAAGTAGAATTTTTTTCTTGATTTTTAAGCCCTTATTGTGGTTTTAAATCATCATTCTTTTAAATCTTATTAATTATTCTAGTATTTTATCAATTGTTTTTCCTTTAAACAATTGCTTTTACTAAGTGGTTTTTGTTGCAATCCAAGGACAGCATTTTTTTTTTTTTTCCAAAAAACTCAAACCAAACTCACTGCCATCAAGTCAAATCTGACTCATACCAACCCCTCCTTGGGCTTCCAAGGTGGTATCACTGTGGAAGTAGATTGCCTAATCTTCCTTCTGAGGAGTGGCTGATTGGTTTGAACTGCCAGCCTTCTGGTTAGCAGTCATATGCTTTTGGCACTACACCACCAGAGCTCCTTGCTTTTTTTTAGTAGAATATTAGTTAACTGGTTGTTATTGTTGTTGTTATGTGCCATCGAGTCGGCCCGACTCATAGCGACCCCTCCTTGGGTTTCCGAGGCAGTATCACTACGGAAGTAGGATTGCCCAACCTTCCTTCCGAGGAGTGGCTGGTGGGTTCGAACCGCCAGCCTTCTGGTTAGCAGTCAAGTGCTTTAGCCACTGTGCTACCAGAGCTCCTTAGTTAACTGGAATCACTGGATAAAATAGAAAGGAATAGATTTGTTAACACTAAAGAACATATACCTTATTACATAGCTAGCATAATACTAAAGAACCAAGTTGTTGTTATTTGCCGTCGAGTCGGCCCCGACTCATAGCGACCCCTCCTTGGGTTTCCGAGGCAGTATCACTACGGAAGTAGGATTGCCCAACCTTCCTTCCGAGTAGGGAGCAAATTTTAATATTACGCTAGATAATTGCTCTCACTGTTGAAGATCAGGACAGATTTAGATAGGCCTTTGAAACTTCCCTTCTGAACTAGAGTGTTTCCGCTTTTATATTTTAACTGGGTGAATCAATATTGCATTTGAGTTGCCTAACTGGCATAGCTGAAAAGTTGAGAACCTCCTGGGAAATGTCACCTTGGGGTTAAGGATATGTTATATCCACAGAGGAATTAATTCATTATCAGACATGGAAAAGGATACGTTTTCATATAGTCTGACCTTTACCCTTACCTTCTTTTCTGCTTTACACATTTTTATTGATAAGTTCTGTTACAGTCATCTATCAGACAGGTCTCTGTCATGTTTCTTTTTAGACTGTGGAACACGAGGCCAGGCAAGACTGTGGAAAACATCTCATAGGGCTATCAGCTGCTTCCTCCTATTCCTGAATACTCCTTCAGAAATGAAACATTCCATGTTTACCTCCCTCAGACCTCTCCTGCAAGCAAGGCTTCTCAGCCTTGTCACTGTGTACGTTTTGAGCAGGATCAGTCTTTGTTGTAGGGGACTGTCTTGTGCATTGTGGGATATTTAGCAGCATCCTTGGCCTCTACCTCCTAGTTGCCAGTAGTACCTTTCCACTTGTGATGATCAAAAAGGTCTCCGACATCACCAAATGTCACTTGGGAGGAAGAATTGTCCCCACTTGGGAACCACTGATCTAAGCAAAGCCAGAAGGAGGGCTTATTATCAGGATCCTGGGAGCTCTGGTAGTGTGATGGTTATGTTTGTATGTCAACTTGGCTAGGCCTGGTTGCATGGCTGGGCAGTTGGATGTAGTATTCCCCATGATGAGACTGGCAATCAACTCCATGGTGGAATCTACTGGCAGCAGCTGGGTAGCTGCCTTTGGGATGTGGTCTGCTTCCTGTGTATAAGGAGAAGCCTTGGGAATGGTCTCTAGCCTGTGACACGTTTGGACCCTGCATGTAGCTGTGTCGTTGCTCAGCAGCCTGCTATGCTTTGCCAACTTTGGGACTTACAGTGGACTTAAGTTAATGGCCAGCTGCATGGTTTGGTAACTTCGGGACTGTGCCTTTTTACTTGTCAACCTTGGGGCTTCTCAGCCTCAGCAGCCGGCAGCTGTCTGAGTGAAGAAACTCCTCTAGTTCCAGTGGGCCGGGAGCAGGAGGCAGAGCTGGATCCCAAGATTGAAGGGCTTCCACCCAGCCCTTAGAGCTTGGCACTTCGAACTTGGACTTAAAGCTTCCAAATTGTAAGAATAAACTCCTGTTTGTTAAGCCCATCCCATTTGTGGTTTATTTCTTGTCAGAGTGGCACTAGGTAACCAGAACAGGTAGCATAGTGCCTAAGGCACTTGACTGCTAACCAAAAGGCTGGCGGTTCAAACCCACCAGCCACTCCTCAGAAGGAAGGTTGGGCAATCTACTTCCGTAGTGATACTGCCTCGGCAACCCAAGGAGGAGTCGCTATGAGTCACGTCCGACTCAACGGCACATAACAACAACACAACAGGTGCTCTTGTAAACTTCACCAAGTTATTGCTAACTATCCTTTTCATAATTTGGGAAGTGTGTCTGAATCTCTGAGAAGAAGAATTATACAGCTTGCAAAATTATATTTAGCACTATAATGTTGTAAACTTGAATTACAAAAAACAAGCCCTTGGGTTTTTTTTTTTTGTTGTTTTTTGGCAATACAAACTGGTTGTTGAGTGAGATTTTTATGTGTATCAAAAGAGGGTGCAAAGGTTTACAAAGGTTGCAAAACAGTTATCTAAAATGATGATGGTTGATCCTCCATTTAGCCTCATCCAACACTTCTGTCCCCCCACATGGTTCTCTAAGGATACACCAACATGGTGTTTCTGCCCCAGTGATACCTGCATGTGGCCCCACATCTTAAACACACACATGCATGCATGCACTGCGGTAGAGTCGGATCCGACTTAGTGACCCCTTCTTGGGTTTCCGAGGTGGTATCACTGTGGAAGTAGATTCTTTCCGAGGAGTGGCTGGTGGGTTTGAACCGCCAGCCTTCTGGTTAGAAGTCAGATGCCTTAGGCACTACGCCACCAGAGCTCCTAACACATACACTTCAAAAATTTTTACTGGAAGCATTTTACTTCTGGAATTCCCTTTGCTCTCCTTTCTGTATCCTTTCTGTCCTTCTGCTGAGTCTTAATGGATTTTAACTGGAGAAAACCAAATCAGACCCACTGCCATTGAGTTGATTCTGACTCATAGCGACAGAGTAGAAATGCCTCATAGTATTTCCAAGGCTGGAAATCTTCAAGGAAGCAGACTGCCTTGTTTTTCTCTCATGGAATGGCTGGTAGGTTCGAACCATGGACATTTTGGTTAACAGCCAAATGCTTTAATCACTGCACTGCCAGATCTCTTTTTTAACTGGCTATCATTGGGTAGCATAGTGGCTAAGACACTTGCCTGCTAACCAGACAGCTGGCGGTTCAAACCCACCAGCCACTCCTCGGAAGGAAGGTTGGGCAATCCTACTTCCGTAGTGATACTGCCTCGGAAACCCAAGGAGGGGTCGCTATGAGTCGGGGCCGACTCGACGGCACATAACAACAACAACAACAAAATCATTGGGTAATTTGTTGTAGTGTATTTAAATCAACATTACTTTTGGTTGCTTTCTTAAAATATCTCTGTTAATTTGACAAATGCATCTCTGGAAATCACTGATCACAAATCAAAACTGTGAAAAATACTGTAATAAGTTGTTACTTTGTTCTTTTTCCAGAAATCATTGTAGTCAAATTTTTTAGTTTTCAGCCACTCAGCTTTGATAATGGAGGAACAGGGTATTGTGGTTTAGGGATTGCCACCTCAGAATAGGAAAATAATTGGTAAAGGAGGCAGTATGCATAAAGGTAAAAGGACCAATCATGAAGTCAGAGTCTTGGGTTCCCATCTTGATAGGTTATGAAAGCTTTCTTTCAGCAGCTGTGAAATGGGATTAATTATACCTGTTTTATGGGATCACTTTGATGATTCATTGAGATGATGTTTCCAGAGTGCCTAGCACAGCACTTGACAGTTAGGATGGAAATGACAAATGGTAATACAAGTAAACTGTACATACATCTTTTAATTTCTAATGAATTCAATTTTTTCTCCTTCATAGACTCTTAGAATTTTAGGGCTGCTGTTGTTAGTTGCTGTGGAGTTGATTCCAACCCCTGGTAACCTTTGTGCAGATAAGAGCTGCTCTGTAGGGTTTTCAAGGCTGTGACCTTTCACAAGCTGATTGCCAGGCCTCTCTTTGAGGTGCTCCTATGTGGATTTGAAAGGCCAATCTTTTAGCTAGTAGTCAAGCCAAGATCCAGAAAGGTGAAGTGGCTTAACCAGAATCATTTGACTAGTGATTGGCAGTTTAGATAAACACTCAGGCCTCTTTTCTTCCAATCCAGTGCCTCTTCCTTTCTTCTAGCCATGGTTCAGATATAACTATGGAGGACAAAAAGTCATTATCTGCATGTGTGGCAACTATCTCAGACTCATTTTATGCCCAGTTATGTTCCTTAGGAATAGCTGTGGGCCTTTTATGATTACAAAATCAGTACCAGAAAAGTTTAGAAAATACATGAAAGCATAAAGAAAATAAAAATCAGCTGTAACCTCACTTCTCAGAGAGCATCTACTCCTGACTTATTTTTAATTGGAGTTGGCTACATCTTAATTTTTGTTTTTTGCTAATGTTTTGGTTCTTCAGTGCTGCTGTAGTAGAAATACTACAAGTGAGTGCCTTTAACAAACAAGAATTATTCTCTTGCAATTTAGGAGGATAGAAGTCCAAATTCAGAGTGCTGCCTCTAGGGGCTGGGTGAAGGCTCCTCAGCCCTCAGCCTCCTGTTCCAAGCCCAGTGGTGCTGGAAGTGTTTTCTGACTTACACAGCTGCTGGCTGCTAAGGTTAATGAACTCAAGACTGATAGGTAAAATGGCAGGCACGGTCCCAAGATCAGCAGGCAACACAGCAGGCAGCTGGTGACTCGGCCAAATGCAAGATCCAGATGTGCCAAAAAGCTAGAGACCTTTCTCAAAGCTTTTCCTTATATACTGGAACCAGGCCACACTCCAAAGCCAACTACTTAGCTGCTCACAGCAGATTCCACCATGGAAGTGATTACAGTCTCATCATGAGGAATAATTATTATATCCAGCTATCAACCCACTCAAAACCAAGATCCAGACAAGTTGACAAACAACCTTAACTACTGCATTTCCACCCCTTGTCAACTTGGAACCTATATAGATCTCCTTCATTGAGTGGTCCCAGTCTCCTAGTCTATCTGAGTGGTGGCCTCACTCCCTTGTCCTGTCAGGCCCTGTTCTTCCACCCCTTGGGGATGGCAGCCCTGGCCCCTCACTTGTGGGCAGGGAATATGGCCCCATCCTACTGGTACTCATGTATGGCAGCCCTACACTCCAGAACTGAATTGGTAAAGATCTGAATCTTTGAAACCTAGGAGGTTGTAGGGGAAAAAAAAGAAAGAAACCTAGAAGGTTGTGGTGGTTCCACGCCCACAGTCCATGATCCTACTTTTGAGACTGAGGTGGCTCTGCTTCCCATTTTCTTGGTCTCTCTGCTTCTGCCAATTAATGTTTGAAGGCAATCCACTCCATCAGGAAGCTTCCTGCTGAAGGCACTCGGGTTTCTCACTCAGTGGGCTGGTGAGCCTGTTGCTCTGTCTCATGCCGGTTTCTCAGTTTTGCTAACGCTTTCTGCTGGTCTCTCTGGCATAATCTCAGCACAGGTATCTCAGGTCCAAGGACGCACTCCACTCCTGCTTCCACATTTTAGGTTGTCTGTTAGAGTAACACCTTGCTCTCTCGGTACCAAAGTCTGTCTTGGTTTTGTACTGCTGCTGTAACAAAAATACCACAAGCACATGGATGTAACAAATGGATTATTCTCTTATAGTTTAGGAGGCTAGAAGTCTGGGTTCAAAGAGCCAGCTGTAGGGCCTGGGTGAAGACCCCTTAACCTTGGGCTTTAGTTTTCTTCCTAGTGACTTCTAGTAAAAAATGACTTAGTGAGAAGTCCCTGGGTGGTGTAAATGGTTAAACACTGAAAGGTTGGTAGTTCAAACCCACCCAGAGGCCCTTCAGGAGTAAGGACTGGCAATCTGCTTCTAAAAGAAACCCTTGGAGTGCAGTTCTGCTCTGCGCACATGGGGTCACCATGAGTCAGAATCGACTTGATGGCAACTGACAAAAACAAGTTTCAAATCTCAGGGCATAAATGGGCTATTCAGCAATCAGATGTGACAACTTGCTAGCCATTACTAAAGTGACTGAATAAAGGTATAAACAAACAAATTTAGGGAAGTGATATGTCCGCTTTAGTGTATGTGGTTCCTCTCTCTTTCCACCAATTCCTCAAAGTCTAGATTATACCACTTGCCATTGAGTTGATTGCGACTCATGACAACCCCATGTGTGTCAGAATAGAATTGTGTTACATAGAGTTTTCAACGGTTGATTTTTCAGAAGTAGATCACCAGGCCTGCCTTCTGAGGTGCCTGCCTCTAGGTGGACTTGACCCTTCAACTTTTTGGTTAGCAGCTGAGTGCTTAACCGTTTGCACCATCCGATTTACCTGTCTTCCAGTCTACCAGAAGAAGTCTGATTCTGATTTAATTGGTCTGGGGTGGGGCCTAGATGTGAACAATTATTAAAAGCTTTCTAGGTGATTCTAAGGTATAGGCAGGATTAAGAACTAGTCATAAAGAGGACCACACAGAAGGGTCATACTGCTGGAAAAGGAGATATGCTGATAAGTGTGCTGGCTTGTGACATTTCAGGCCTCCTTTTCTCTGTTGGTGGTGTATTGCCTTAAGGCATTTGACTGCTAACCAGAAGGTTGATGGTTCAAACTCACCAGCCACTCTGTGGAAGGAAGATGGGGCAATCTACTTCCGTAAAGATTTACCACCTTGGAAACCAGTAGGGGTTATTGAGTCACAGTCGACTCGATGGCAGCGAGTGTGGTTTGGTTTTGGTTTTCTCTGCTGGAGGAACTCTGGTAGCATAGCGGTTAAAGCATTCAACTGCTAACTAAAAGGTCAGTGGTCCAAACCCACCAGCAACTCCGCAAGAGAAAGATGAGGCAGTCTGCTTCTGTAAAAATTTACAGCCTTGGAAACCTTAAGGAGCAGTTCTACTCTGTCCTATAGGATTGCTAGGAGTTGGAATCCACTGATGGCACTGGGTTTGCTTTTGATTTTGGGTTTCTCTGCTGGAGCTGCACCCCTGCTGTCCTCTCCCCTACAGGTGGCAACATCTCCCTGAAAGAATACACATGTCAGCACTTTTTGAGGTTAGAGCTTTTTAGGGGTAAAATAATGTGAAATAAAACTTTCTGTGTTAAAAAGAGAAAAAAATGTTCAGTAGAAGAGAGGTGAGAAACTGTAAGCACTGTCCTTTCTCCTGCCGATGAAGAAAAATATTATTATGGAACACAAACACTTCAAAATAACTGTTCGATTTGGTTTTATAAATGATACCGGAGAACTGTGCTTTGCCAAGTTAGTGCTTATTTTTCAATCCATGACCAATGAGAAACAATCTGGCTTTACAGTAACACTCCCCATGTTCCCTTTCTCAAAACGTATTTGGGGACTAGTGCTGGTCTGTAAACTATTTGTTGTTGGGTGTCGTCAAGTTGATTCTTAGAGTAACCCTACGACACAGGAGAACTGCCCCATAGGGTTTCCTAGGCTGAAATATTTATGGGAACAGGCCACTAGGTCTTTTCTTCTGTGGAGCAACCAGTGGGTTTGAACCACTGACATTTTGGTTAGCAGCCAACCCCTTAACCATTGAGCTACCAGGGCTTCCTAAACCATTTGTTACTAGCCCACAATTAAGTAAAACTTAAAAACATATTTAGCAAATGGACATTGCCTTGACATACTTATTGTGTGTTACAGAAGTGTTGGCCTGCCGTGGATTGGGAAAAAAACAAAAATGACCCTTCTCCACAGATAGGTCAGGAAGCACTGTTCCACTTGAGGAGGAAGTAATTTAAAGAAACCATCCTTCTTTTCATGTTTATTTTCTCTCTCTTAGGGATTTTGTATTTGAAGACATGGATCTTGCTGCCAATGAGCTCAGCATTTATGACAAACTTTCAGAGACTGTTGATTTGGTGAGACAGACAGGCCATCAGTGTGGCATGTCAGAGAAGGCAATTGAAAAATTTATCAGACAGCTGCTGGAAAAGAATGAACCTCAGAGAGGAGCACCCCAGTATCCTCTCCTTATAGCTGTGTATAAGGTAAAAATGTCTTCTGACTTGGAAGTAGCTTAGACACAGCACAGACTCTTCAGCATTCTCCCCAAATATTATCACTAACTGATTCCACCGTTGAACCTTGTTTCTTCGTGAATAAATTGGCCTTTGCTCTTGTTATTGTGTGTTACTAGAAAATTTGACTATTTGATTAAATGTCCTAGACAAAAGCTGTGTATTTATATTAAAATTTATTTGTGTGTGTTTTTTAATGGGTGTTATATCCCCTGATTGTATAATAGAAGCTTGGTGAGCCTTGCAGTCCTTGTAGTTTTAAAACATTAGATGCTTTCAGATCTTAATGTGAATGGCTTGTTTATGAGAATGCATTAGTTCTTAAGGTACATTGGGAATAGCATAAGAGGGCTGTTTTGTTTTTCTTCCTTGGTGTTAGGAAGTTTTGTTTGCTTGGACAAAACAAGCTTTATTTGCTGTTAATCTTTTTCTTATCTTTCCTTGTAGGTCCTTGTGACCCTGGGGTTAATCTTGCTTACTGCCTACTTTGTGATTCAACCTTTCAGCCCATTACCACCTGAACCAGTGCTTTCAGGACCTCACACCTGGCGCTCACTCATCCATCACATCCGGCTGATGTCCTTGCCCATTACCAAGAAATATATGCCAGAAAATAAGGGAGTTCCTCCATATAGGGATGGTGAAGACAGGCCCTTTCCAGGTAGAATGCTGTATTTACTACTTACAAGATACAACTTTTTTCACAGTGTGCAATGGGAAAGGAAATAATATTTATTGACATCAATGGGAGGTATTTTCCCAGGAGTGTCTCATTAAATTCAGTCTTCACTAAAACTCTCTGAGGTAGGTTTTATTATCACCATTTTGCAGATAGAGAAGCTGAGAGTCCGAGAGGCTAAGAAGTAGGCCAGAGAGACACATCTGGTGGAGCTAAAACTCAAACCTCCTGATTCTGAAACATGTATGATGGTGGGGATGAGAAGATTTGCCTATAAGAAGGATTTGACTCTTATCTTATTCTGCCTTTTTCTCTCCTGTGATTCCTATCCATATTGTATATTTCATAAATCACTGTTGATTTGTTGAATGCATCTGAGTCCAGCTTCCTTTTAATTAGATCTTCTAACAGTCGTTACTTAACCTACTGGGTTGCGCTTATGTATAGCTATACCCCACTCTTTCAATTTAGTCTTTTCTCTCCATATCGTTGTTCACTTAATTTAGTGCTCATAAGTGTATCAATGTGGCCAATAAGTTGAATTTAGGAAACAGGTTTATAGTAACTGTGCATCAGTACCATCATAGGAATTCCTAGTCTGAAAGACTACTTGAGGGGTTTCCTTTTGAGAATAGTGTAATATGTGGTAAGACGAGTCAGCCCTCAACTCAACGATGACCCCATGTATAACAGAATGAGATGCTGTCTGATCCTGTGCCATCCCCAGGATCAGTTGCAGATCTGACAATTGTGATCCATTGGGTTTTTCATTGGCTGATTTTCAGAAAAAGATTATTGTGGCCTTTCTTCCTAAGAGAAAGAATAAACCAAACCAAACCCACTGCCATTGTGTTGACTCCAACTCATAGTGACCCTATAGACAGAGTAGAACTGCCCATACTATTTTCTTTCTTTTTATTTTTTTCCCTCGAGTTGATAAAAGTTGTGGTGAACACCATATGTTAGAGAGTAGAACTGCTCCATAGGTTTTTTTTTTTGTTGTTGTTGTTCCCCAAGTTGTGATTTGGGTGAAATTTTACAGAGCAAATTTACCTTCCATTCAACAGTTTATATATATTTTGTTTCATGACATTGATTGCTATCCCCATAGTATAACAGGTCTTGTCCCACTTCCTCCCTCTAGTTACCTTTTCACTGTTTCCCTTCTTCCCATGCATTGCTGCCCTCTGAGCTATCTCTCTGTGCAAATGATGCCCTTCTCATCTCCTATGGTTGATTGTTCTCCAGAGTGGAGACCTCTGGCCTTGTAGGCCTGTCCATTGTTTGGCTGGAAGCCATGGGAGTGAGTTCAGTTACAGGCCTGAAGGGTGACGAGGGGCCATAGTCTCAGGGGTTTCACCAGTCTCTATTGGATCAGTAAACTTCATCTTTTTTATGATTTTGAGTTTGGTTCCACATTTTTCTCCCATTCTATCCAGGACCTCCTATTTTGATCTCTTTTCAAGTGGTTGACAATGTCAGCTGGGCACCATCAAATTCTTCTGGTCCCTTGGACTAGTTGTTTCCTTGCCTCTTTGATTTTCTTCACTTTTCTTTGCTGCAGATGAGGAGAGACCAACTGTTACATCTTAGCTTTTAAGACCCTAGTCGCTACTCATCAAAGTGGGATGTAGAACAGTGTTTTTGTATAGTATATTATGTCAGTTGAGCTTGATGTCCCCTGCAACCATGGTTCCAAGCCTGCAGGCCCAGCAACCCACTCCCTCAAGGTGTTTGGCTGTGGCCAAGAATCTGTTATAACTGCCCCCGTTAGTGCTATTATATATATGGCATACAGCACATAGAAATATATATGTAGAAATATCGTCTGCCAGACTTAAATACGGTCATGGATATATTCCTTTTTGCCTACCCATTCCTGATCCTTTAGCCTGTCTACCTATGTTTCTACTATAGATTAATGTTTATTATTACTAATAATGCAGTATTGTGTTATAAAAGTATTTACCTTTGCTGTCTGTACTTATTGTGCAACTCTTCCGGTCTTCCTTTTCCTTAGTGTTATTGTGCTGGTCACTCGCTTTTGGTATATTGCCTTTCCCTTCACCCACATCAATACTTGTCTCTTGTTGTTGTTGTTGTTATGTGTCGTCGAGTCGGACCCGACTCATAGCTACCCCTCCTTGGGTTTCCAAGGCAGTATCACTATGGAAGTAGATTGCCCGAGGAGTGGCTGGTGGGTTTGAACCACCAGTCTTCTGGTTAGCAGTCAACTGCCTTAAGCTCTACACTACCAGAGCTCCTACTTGTCTCTTACCTATCTAGCAATTTTCCCTCCTCCCCTCTCCCCTCCCTGGTAATAAATAGTTTCCTTCCTTGTGTAAACGTTTCCTGGACTTTTTGCAATAGTGGACTCAAATAATATTTGTCCTTCTGTGATTGACTTATTTCACTCAGCATAATGTCCTCCAAGTTCATCCACATTATGATGTTGCCAAAAGGGCAAGGAAGCCACATCTCCTGACCTCCTCTAACCCCACAAGAAGACAGAATGACCATCAATAGCCCAAGGCCTATTACTGCAAGGCCAGACATACTGCCTCCCTCCAATCCTTTTACCAACCGTTCCTCCCAAAGCACTCACCACCTCTCTCCTGGGTTCGATAATTCGCTGCAGTGGCCACACAGAACTCACAGATTACAGGGGTTTATTAGGGAAGCACCAGCTTACAATTCGAGTTCAGGAAAAACGCTCAGTCTCTCTCCCAGCCCACAGTCTCTCTCTCCTAACAGCCTCTCACAGTCTCTCTCCCAACAGTGCTTGTCCCTTGGTGTCTCACTCAGCAATGTGTGTCTCTTATGTCTCTTTCCCAGCAGCGCGTGTCTCTTTCAGCAGCACATCTTCCTCAACCAGCAGTCAGAGAGACTTCTTCTGCCTCTAGGAGGCCTCCTTTTGAGCCTGGTAGAGTGGCCAAACTAACCAATCATAACATCAGAATTCTAAGCACCTGAGGGAGAGCAGGAACCTCCCAGAACATTGCTTTGTGTTGCGCCCAACAGAAATACCCCAGGTGGATAACTTTTACAATCAGGAGCTCCTCAGTTACTCACAGCAAATTCCACGACAGAGTTTACCAAGACTTATGGCTAGAAAATCCATACCAGGTAATTTACTACACCGCAGATGTGTTTCGCGGATTCTTCATTATTCTTTAGTGTTGTGTAGTATTCCATTGTGTGCATGTGCCATGGTTTGGTTATCCATTCATCTGTTGATGGGCACTTGGATTGTTACTATCTTTTTGCTTTGATGAACAGTGATGCAGTGAACATGTTTATGCATGTATCTATTCGCACCCCAGTTCTCAATGATTTAGGATATATACCTAGTAGAGGGATTGCTAGATCAAATGTATTTCTATTTGCTACTTTTTAAGGAAGTGCCATGCCATTTTGCACCGTGGTTGTACCAATTTACAATTGCACCAGCAATGTATGAGTGACTCAATCTCTCCATACCCTTGCCAGCATTTCTTAGTTTCTGTCCTGTTGAACTTTGCTATGATTGCTGAGGTGAGATGATATCTCATTGATGTTTTTATTTGCATCTCTCTAATAGCTAATGATTGTGAGCATTTCTTCATGTGTTTGTTGGCTGCTTGAATATCTTCTTTGGTGAAGTGTCTGGTCATGTCCTTTCCCCATTTTTATATTGGATTATTTGTCTTTTTGATGTTGAGTTTTCTATAAATTTTAGAGATAAGCAATTTGTCAGATATTTTGTTGGTGAATATGTTTTCCCAATATGTAGGTTCTCTTTTTATTCTTTTGGAGAAGTTTTTTTGATGCATATGAGAAGTTAATTTTTAGAAGGTCCCGGTCATTTAGTTTATCTTGTACTATTTGTGCATTTTTTACTTATGTTTGCTAGTCTGTTAATGCCATATATTAGGGCTCCAAGGTTGCCAATATTTTTTCTTTGATGCATTTTATAATTTTAGGTTTTACATTTAAGTCTTTGATCCATCTAGAGTTAGTTTTTGTGTATGGTGTGAGGTGTGGATCTTGTTTCATTTTTTTGCAAATAGATATCCAATTTTGTCAGCACCATTTGTTAAAGAGACCATTTCTTCCCTGTTTGTGGTGTAGTAAGTTACTTAGTGTGGCTTTTCTACCCATAAGCCTTTGTAAACTCCAAGGTGGGATTTGCTATGAGCAACTGAGAAGCTCCTGATTGCTAAATTTATCCACCTGGAATATTTCTGTTGGGAGTGGCACAAAACAATGTTCTGGGAGGTTCCCACTCTCTCTCAGGTGCTTAGAGTTCTGATGCTATGATTGGCTACTTTGGCCACTCTGCCAGGCTCAAAAGGAGGCCTCCTAGAGGCAGAACTCTCTCTGACTGCTGGTTGAGGAAGATGCTGAAAGAGACACGTGCTCCTGAAAGAGACACGTGCTGCTGGGAAAGAGACGCAAGAGACACGCATTGCTGAGTAAGACACCGAGGGACGTGCACTGCTGGGGGAGAGACTGTGAGAGACTTGGCTGAGAGACAGTGGGCTGGGAGAGAGACTGAGCATTTTTCCTGAACTTGAATTGTAGCCTGGTGCTTCCCTAACAAACCTCATAATCTGTGAGTTCTGTGTGGCCACTGCAATGAATTATTGAACCCAGGAGAGAGATGGTGGTGCTTTGGGAGGAACAATTGGTGAAAGGGCTGGAGGGAGGCAGCATGCCTGGCCTTGCAGTAATAAGCCTTGGGCTATTGATGGTGATTCTGTCCTCTTCTTGTAAGGTTAGAGGAGTTCAGAACATATGGCCTCCTTGCCATTTTTGTACTGTTAATGGATTTTACTCCTTTGTCAAAGATTGGCTGTCCATAGGTTGGTGGATCTATATCTGGGTTCTCAGTTCTGTTCTAGTGGTCTATGTGTCTGTCGTTGTACCAATACCAGGCTGTTTTGAGTGCCATGGCTGTATGGTAGGTTGAGATTGGGCAATGTAAGACCTCCTACTTTGTT